ACGCATTATGTTCGGAATTTAACAATGGGAATGTTGAGTGTACAAACACATAGGAGTTTGAGTGGATTCAACCGAAAGGAATTTTAGTGGTCCCACCGTCAATTAGTCTGATCGGTGGGGGACTTTGTGGTGGAAGACTGTGAGTTTTCAAACACCAATGGGAATTTTGTGAGGAAAGATTGATCCAACGAAGTGATCGAATCTCGTCTCAGCAAAAGTGTGTTCGGAAATCACAGTGGGGGTTTAGTGTTTATCACTTTGTTTGTAATGATCGGGTTATCCCTAAGAAAATTACATATAGTATTCTTCCGGGAACTTCCCGTTACATGAATCATCCACCCCCAGCTTCTTCGCGAAACTGGGTTTATCATTGCATTCGGTTGCATGATCGGGTTATCCTTAAGAATATTACGTATAAAAATTCTCCAGGAACTTCCCGTCAATGCTAAGAAACAGTTTAGACTCATATATCTATTGGAGTATCAGGAAACAGTTTAACCTCTTATACCGGTTGGAGGATTGAGAAACAGTTTATACTCTTATACTTGTCGGAGTCTAGGAAAGAGCAGTTTATACTCTTATACTTATCGGAGTGTTGCCGTTCTCATTTGGCTTATCCTAGTGCTATGACGCCGGCTTCAACCAAGGTTTGGATGATATTCTTTAAAGTAAAGCAAGTCTTGGTGGGATGGAGGATCCTCCTATGGTACGCGCAGTACTTCGGATCCATAGTATAGTCAGCTTCCTCCTGATTTGTGACGGATGGCAGCTTAATCTTATTGTTTTCAAGAAGGGTCTCGAAGATGGCTGGAACGTCATCGTCCTTGAATGAGTACTCTTTTTGGAGCCTCGAATCCGAAGTCTTCTACTGTCTTCGGGGATGCTGTTGCGACGTCTGATTAACATCAATAACCGTTGTAGGTGCCTTCCCTTCATCATGGGAAATGAGACTCAGATTCAGAGGGTTAGCCATCGGTTGGCTTCTTTCGACCTTCCTCCTTCTAAGGAAGCGTTCGGCCTGCTCTCCGCGCACCTTCAACTCTTTCCAGGTATTGAGCGGCTCTACTTGTTTTCAGCAAAAGTTGGTTCTGTTGAGGAATTCATTATATCTTCGTTTGATTACAACAAATTCAAAGAAATAGTCTTTTTATAAGACCTTTTCTACACAACAAAGCAAAAATTACAACTCTTGAGAAAATAACACAAAAATCGTCTATCGATTCTTGTTTTTGTGGGACTTTGCCTGTGCCGGGAACGCTTTGGTTCGTGGACCGCCGAGTCACAGATCGTGAAGGGGGTTTACTGATTCTGACTTCATTTATCGAAGTGAGAATTTGAAACTATATCTTATCAAAGTAAGATAGTCGTTCTTCTTAAAATCAAGTCAAAGCTTAATTTCAAGGAGTTGTACGAAAATTCAAATTTGCTCTCTCTCTGCTCTGGATTGCTCGAAAATATGCTCGATCCTCATCAGAAATAACCCTAGGGGGGTATTTATAGCCTCTGGGGTAATAACTGCACAAAACTCAAACAAAACAACACGTTATGGCTGCGAGACAGTGTTTACTGTCTCGCTGGGGGAGACAGTGTTTCTGTCTCGGAAAACGACAGTTTCTCGCTGTAACTGTTATCCCACGTTTCAAACTCCGTTATTTTGGCAGTTATTCACGTGATTTTCGCCCACGATGTTTCCCACGTCCCTTGGCAGTTAATGGACACGTGTAGGGTAGTTATAAAGGTGGTTTTGACCATTTCAATACTGTCTCGTTGGCGAGACAGGAAGTACTATCTCGCTGGCGAGACAGCAAACACTGTCTCGCTGGCGAGACAGTTCATATCTGTCGATTTCTTTTGAATGATTTTCTCTATGTTTGGATATCTATTAGCAATTTTTGACGCCTACAGATACCCCCTCCAAAGTATTCCAGACTCATTCTTTTATAGAGGAGCATGAGATACTTTGGATAAGATAGATTTTACTTACGATTCCTTCAATGCTTGGTGGAGTAAATCGTGTAGAAGAATTTGTAAAATGGCTTCGGCTCTTGATCTCTTCATTCATTAGTCTATTCAGTTCTATGTAGAATAGCTAATACTTCTCCGGCACTGCGTTTATCGTTCGACCGTTGTTGAGATCTTGAATTGAAGTTGGTATTTCCAGATTGATGCTTGTTTGTCTCTCGAAAGTTCGTCAGGTTATCCTTAAGAATATCAAGAGTGATATTCTCTAGAAACTTCCCGTTGAATGTAGGAAAACAGTTTAGACTCGTGTACCTATTGGAGTATCCATGTATATATTGAAACAGCACGATATCGCCAAACAATCATTGTCGTCTCGTGATACGAGACAACTTATACTGTCTCGTGGTGCGAGACAGTAAATGCTGTCTCGCGGTGCGAGACAGTATATGCTGTCTCGCGGTGCGAGACAGTATATGCTGTCTCGCGGTGCGAGACAGTAAAGTCTGTCCCGCACGGCGAAGTCGGGATTATAAAACCCCGACTTAGGGTTTTTTCTGGGTTTTTCACGTCGGATTTTGGGCGATTTTTGTTGATTTCTTGGGCGATTTTCTGCAAGCTTCGACCAGTTCTCTTGCTTTCTTTGTTTCTGATTTGTGTGGCGCCTTTATTTGGGGAGATTCCATTCGGATTTCTGAAGGTTTGTACGCCTCTTTCTCCAAAACTTTGATTTTCTTCACCTGTGACTGTGCACGCATTGTTTCGGTTGTATTTGCTCTATTTTTTGTCGATTTCATGTTCAAAATCCTAACTTTCCTCTTGGGTTTTAATGTAGCTCGTGTTTTCGTCATGTCGCCGCGTAGAGCTCGAGGTACTCGAGGCCGTCCGACTGTTCAGAGCCCTGAGGAGGCTGCCCCTGTTGCCGCTTCGCATGGGGGTGCATTTCTTTCACCCTTTTGCGATTTTAAACACTGTATTTCTTCAATTTCATGCGTCAATATTTGTGTTTGCATGCAGATCCTCGTTTGTATCCTTTGAGATACCCTCGAGAAGAGCCGGTATCCTCCTTTGAGGGGATCGACGCTTAAAAGTGTCTGTTTTTCTTGGACAAAACACACTTCAGAATACATAGGGGCGATTTCATATCATCCCACGTGTATTGAAAGGTTTTGGTATGCCGTTATAATGCCCGTGCATAGTAACGCATATCTCCTTTATACATGTGGTAGATGGAAACTCGTCACACCTGTTATGAGCTAGCGACTATATCTTATGGAATAAGATATACCGTTTTCTCTAAAATTTTAGGACTATACTTACACAATTTATGTGTATGTGTCTTTTATCAGTCCGATTTCCTTCTACCACCTTTGCTGCTGATGTGGTTACTGGCCGGAGTAGCGTGACCCACTCTTATTATGAGGGGCTTCCGTTAATTGAATCATCTTCCCAGTTCAAATCTGGCTATAGCGAAAGTGCTAGAGAATTAATCCGGCGAGGTAGTTGTCGTGTTCTACGACGGTTAATCACGGATACCACCTTGATTTCCGAGCAAGACTCGAATCAATGTATAAGGAAGCCGGATTTCTTGTTTGGTGATTCGGTGAAAGATCCAGAGATTGCTTTCTGCAAGCCTGCACAATGGTTGCACCAAAGTGGGTCATCATTCTTATATCTGCCCTGGATTCCTCGGGAGTATTCGTTGTTGAAGTTCAGGAACTTATCCGTTAGCCGTGAAATGTTCTGAAGATTAACTGAAAATCACGAGCGTATTCACTGTGGTTTCATTGGGAAAGAGGCTACTCCAGGTTCCAATGAAAGAGCTTTTGTACGAGGGCTGCATCCGGGTGTCTTAGGTCAAGACAATATACCTCAGAATGAAAAGATAGCGCAGGCCAACACTGTGAAGAACCGGTTAGCGGCAGCGGGAAAAAGATTACCCAGAGAGAATTTTAGATGTTATGGATGGGTCCATTATTCTGGGGACAAATGGTGGTGGACCAGAATGACTCGATATGTGTTGAACCGTTGGGGGCGAGAGTTAGCAGAATTAGGGTTGGATGTAGGTCAGCTTAAAACAATTCGCCGATTATCTATTCAAGAACCTGGACGACCGTTCGGCAGATGTATGTGGATTGTCTCCTTTGAGTTCGGGTGAAATCAATCACCTGTTAGAAAAAACAAACGCGCAATCTTATTATTCGCGCTCAAAAGAGGGATTTTCGCACGGCACTATGTTCCGCCCTTATCTGTGGTAAGCTGGTGTTCCGATTAGCCCTACTGCTCTGCTGGCAGGTTTCCTAGCTTTATGGCTAAAGAGGTGCGTAGTTCCCCACCAGTCCTCAGATGCGATGCCAATGGAAGTGTTCTATCCGGCCGTCCAGCTAGCTACAGGTCGCAAATTATCTTTGCTTCCTGCTATGGTGGCCGCTATTCACAGTGGATTACGGCAATTAATCTCCGTGTTTACTCAGGAGAAAAAGAAACCCTCCGCCAGTCTGTCCGTTCCGAAGCTGGAGCTACCCTACACTTATCTGATGACCTGGTTAGTACTTCATCGACCAGATTTAATGGAAGCTCCTGAGACGATAAATCCCAGCCTCCCTTTGTTGCAGAATCTCGAGAAATGCAAATGGATCAAGCATCGAGGGCCAGATATAACGAGGCAGTTTAAAATTCACAAGTGTTGGGAATTCTTCCCCTGCTTCCCCCAGTTCTCCGGTACCTACAATACGACTCTAGTGGATGCTGAAGACCCAAGGCAGAATCGCACCATTTTGGATGTCGGGTGCTTCAGATGGTTGATGAACATTCGACCTGGTTATTTATTGTTTCGGGTAAGAGACGTTTGTCATATTGAACCCTATCTTCCATGTAGATTCGCCCGTCAGTTCGGCTATGATCAGATGTATGTCGGCAACCCAAACCGCCACCTTAGCTTTCGAGGTGGACTTATTGACGGGGCGAGGGCTTGGTTTTGGAGCATCGCCGGCTGCACGAATGTTGAATTCGATCTTCCTTTGGAGGCGCCGCCCCTACGGATGACATTCCTCTTTTGTAAGTGGTTGATTGCCGCTAATATCGTCACTCGACGTGGGAGAGTATCGGACTCAGAGGAAGAGGCAGCTCCGCAGCAAGCGACAGAGGCGACTCATGAGGCTATGGTGTCGACTCGAGGAAAAGAGGCTGCTGAATCCTCGAGAAAAGGAAAGGAACCGGTTCTTCCAGCTGGTAGTGAAGAGGAATTTGATAGTGAGGAAACGGAGACTTCTGAAGAGGCGGGTGAGACTGGCTCGAGTTCTGATGAAAGAGTTGGTCTCCCCGATTCTTTCTTTGAAAGGGGACTTGTAAGACCTTCCGTTGCTCCGGCCCAACCACAAGCTGCTCCGAAAAAACAGAGAGAGAGAGTCGTCATGACCTATCCTAATCGGATGACGGTAGACGTTCTCAGTGGAGACGAAGAGGATGAAGAGGATACAGTGCCTCTTACTCGTAGGCAAAGATCTCAATCTTCCACTCAGGCTCAAACTCAGATTCCTCCTGGAACTGAATTACGCACAAAACGTCGTCATGAAGGTTCTGATGTACGTCCACTGAAGAGACAGAAGAAAGCCGTTTCTAAACCACGTGTTCATCTCCCCGCTTTAGAGGAAACGTCTGCCCGTAGCGCTTCTTCAGAAGAACAAGGTAACAATTTGTTTTTTATTGCTTTTACACTTCTTAATGCTCAAACTTATTTCATGCTCAACTTCTGTAGGGAGTCGAGAAGAAGGAGAATTGCCAGCTGATGCTGCTTCTCCCGGAGATATGGAGACTGAGGAGACCAGCTTTGTCCAACAAATGCAGGATGCTCTGAAAGAAGGACCAGCTGGTGTTCCACCAACTCCTGACATTGATCCATCGGCTACAGACACAGGTACTGATCTTTCTCCTCTTGGAAGAGAAATCCGAGAAATGAATGAGTCAGACCGTGTGCCTCCTCTAATGACCTGTGCACTTTGTCTCCTTTTAGTCAAGCTAAAAGAAGCGGGTACAAGTAGTGGAGCTCTCGAATCCGTCCCGGTCAACGAAGGTAACGTTAATCGTCTTTTTTGAGCAAATTCGTTTAAGTCTGTATGTTGTTTATGACTCTACACATTCTGTAGATGCCATAATGAAAGAATCTGTTGGAGGAGAGGCCACGCATGCAACAGAGGTCGAGGAATTCAATGAGCATCACCTCGATTTTGATCTCTCTGAAGGCGACCATCAGTATATCTCCGATTTATTATCGGGGAAAACTCCTGGTGCGGCCACAGAATCCAACGTTGGAGTCGGTTCAACAGAAGCAGGTCCTTCTGGGAGTAAGACTTTGGTTCTGTGAACTCCATACATACATACATATATGTTTTAACTTGATTAATCATATAAGTGTTTGAATTATAGGACCAGCTGCTGGAGCTGATACTACCATAATCACTGGAACGTCTGATCGACCGGAGGGTAGTGAACTCGTGCCATGGGCAGGAACTGAGGTTGATTTGCAATCATCAGTTCTTGAACCTCAACCTTCTACTCCTATGGACCCGATGATGATAGAAGTCACCGTCACTCCTCAAATTAGCCCGGTCGCAACAAAAGCGAGACCAACTGAAGAAGTTGGTACGTCGGCTGATGTTGTGCCTAGAGTTGGTAAGTTTCACCCATAATTTGTTTCGAATTTACGATCAACATTCCATCATACTTATTATGGTTCTTTTGTTTGCAGAATATTCTCCCCAGGAGCCTCTCAACTTAGACCTAAAGTTCTCTGGGGTTAATATTAAAAAATCTTCTAACGTAGCTAGTGCGTCAAAAGTTGCCATTCCTGAACTGACTTTGGCTGCTCAGGAGGCCGAACTACCCCCATTGGGTGAACAAGATCGTGCTGAAGGCTCTTCTGT